CAAACATGGCGAACAGCGACAAGCGTTGGTCACTTGCTTTGTAATGCAGATTAGTCGTTGGCCAACATTTTGTTGACGTTTGTTGCTGTTGTTCTCATAAACCAACTTAATGAAATCCCAGCGATCAGACTCTATTGTAATTTGCTGTCAAAGAACAGTTGGAGTCGCATCCTGAAGGAATGTGGCTGAAAAAGACGAAACGGCACAACGGCTTTCCTCGGAGCGTGTGAAAGTGGTTGTTATGGTCGGATAGATTTACACATAAAATTCAATTAACGCGTTTAGCACCACATTAGACATCAAGGCTTGCAGAACAAGATCAAGATCGAGGACTTCGGTTTCCTTTTAGAGTTGCCGATCAAAGCAAACCGGTAATTTCGTAGGAATTATAATTTATTTCGCTGGTTACCAAGTGAAACTTGCCACGCACTTATAAAGTTTCTACGATCAAGTCCCCGGACCTCGGATCGAGCAAGCTTGGCTCGTTTCATTACTCATCTGGATGAAATGAATCCTTTAATGCTTTTATCACGACTATTGAGAACTGTTTCTTGTGTACATTTGGTTAAATTGTATTGACATGGCTAATGAACTCCTCGTGTCAAGCAACAACTCCATAAAGCGACGTTGTTGAGACCTGATTGCAAATAATTTGCCTTTCCTTTGGCTTTTATCGGACGAAGTGCAGTTTAACCCTTCACCTAGGATCAAAACGTTAACAGACGAAGCAGTGTTACTTTGGCTGCAATGTCTCGCATGAGGACTGGTTTGAAGCCAATTGAGCCCACAAGGCGTTCTCCGACAAAGTTTCCCCCAGTAAGAAGTGGATGGAGATCTAACTCTCCACCTTTAGCAGGCAGTGCTAGAGAACCAGAGTGGTCCCATGATATGATTAGAGGGATTCAGTTAAAGACAGCGACCAAAAGACCCTTGGTAGCAAGTACTTCTCCCAGAAGGACTCCAAACACTGATGAGATTAAGACAACACCTACAGTAAAGCAACAAGAGGAAAGAAAATTTTCCAGCCCACAAGAAAATGGCAAGGATAAAGAAATTGAGGTTAGTCACTGTTGTGTATAAAGTCACTGTGAAATGAGTCATAAAATCTTGGTTGAGCTATTTTTAGGAAGATGTACTAGTCGGTTTGAAACCCCCCTTTCTGGGTTAACGGCCTACCTCCCCCCGCTCCCCCCAGCATGTGACATTTTTATTTTTCAGGGGGTCAAATTCCCAACCTCAGGCAAAATAGCCTATGTGTAGCTGTACCCATCCCCCAAGGAAAAACGTTTTTCCTCAGGGTTGGGTACAGCTACACGTAGGCTACAGGCAAAATGGTTTTCAAAATACCCTTAGGCTCTAGTGCCGTTATGGTTTGTGCTCCTCTTGGAGTGACAGGCCTAAATACATGTCAGTGAAGTTTGTGGCACCGAGTTTTGTAGCTTTTTCTCATGATCTTCCAAAAGTATCACAGACTGCAAAACACATTTCTGAAAAAATTCTAACCCGAATAAACTCTTAGAATTTCTAACAATCATTTATTTTTGGTTTGGTTTGACAATTAGGCTAGATAGAAATTAGTTTACCAACAACCTGTCTGCATTTTTAATCTGTTTTCAGAAACTGAAGCTGAAGATCCTATCCCTTCAAAAGCTAATTGAACAGCTAAGAACTGAAATCAACGAGAAAGCCAACACAATAACGGAACTGGAGGAGAAACTCAAAGTACAGGTAAAGAAATATAATTATATGAAATAATTTTTTGGCAACTTCACTCCATAATTGCCATAAGACTGGGAATTCGGAATTCTTCAACCTCTTTAGTCTTCATTTATGGAAGGAGGATTTGCCTTATGGACATAATTTTATTATAGGAAACCTCTTCTCTGAAAGTTAGCCTATAGGCGATTTGCATGATGATGTTGTTTGACTACAACTATCAGAATCCTTCACTCTTTCTGTTTGTTATCCTAATTAGGGCAATTCTTATTTAAACCCCACTGGGAATTCAAAATTTAAATAATAAAAAAAAACGATAGGAATTCTGGTAGTTGTAGTCAAATGACACCAACGTGCAAATGTGCTATTAGAACATACTACAAACCCAGCCATTACAAGAACTTTACAGGGTTTGTAAACCATCAGTGATGTTACACATATCGTGTTCAGGGCTGACAATAAGAGCTGTAACCCATAGCATTTGTTACAGCTGTGTGCTCATGATTGATGGACCCTTAAAATTCACCCATAAAGTAAGCAGTTTGTTACATGAAGATCAAGGTTACAGGTGAATCAAAACTTTATTACAGCCCTGATGTTTACTCAACAGGTAGCAGAATTTGAAGAGCAGATTAAGAAATTGAAAGCAATCATCAGTGAAAGAGAGAAAGAAATAGAGGAAAAGAAGACGATTGTGAAAAACAAAGATGTAGAAATCAGTGAATTGAAAGACAGCTTTGAAAACGAAAAAGAAAAGATGAAAAAAGAGGTAAGGATACGTAAAGAGGATCATTTTGGTGTCTTTAGTGGCAATCATAAGGTAGTTATTGGGTTTGATTTTGAGTGGCATCAAACACCTCATTTCATAGATTCATCATAAACTTGTTGCATGTGACAAAGTTGAGAAAAGCCTAAAACAGGCTTTTCCAGATGGTCATCCAGACATCCTTCATAATACTTTTTTCACATCGTGCTCTACAAATTCTTAGCTAAGCTGAACCCATAGCAAATTATGGCTACCTGCTTTTAAAATTGTAGCTCAAGGAACGATCCTTTGATATACACCTGCTGGTTATACCTGTAGGCCTGTTAATACCTTTTAAAACCAAATCAGTTTATTCCTGGATAACATTTATTAGATTTTAAAGAGCAGCTATTTCTTTCTTAGATTCCTGCAATTTTTATCCAAAAAGTAGGTAGCTTAGAAATGATTGGTCAGTTTGACAGCACTTGCCATAATTTAGTTTAACTTCTTTTCTTAGTTTGATCACGAATTGGAGGAGTTAAAAGCTCAGCATCTCAAGGAACTCACAGACCGTGATGGTAAGATGAAAGTCTTGAAGATGCATATGGCTGATGCTCTTAAGGATAATTCAAGGTGATCTTTTGGTTGTGACTATTAAAACCCTTGACTTATAAGATTTCTTTTTGCTAGAAAAAATTGTAAAGCAAGCAACATTACATGACAGAATAAATAAATATGAATTTGATGCTTTTATTAATTTTGTTTCTCCACACACTGGAGTCTCATCTGCAGACTCATGAGTTTGAGCTGTGTTGTAAGGCATAATAATTATAATACCATATATACCATATGAAGCTTCTGATCAATAGCTCTCATTTCATTGGTGACATGCTTGGGTTTTATTCAGACATTCAAAAATAAAACCTTCTTCAGGGCTGTCATTAAGGGCTGTAACCCATAACACCTGCTGCAGCTGAGTTTGTTTGATGGGCCCTTGATGTTACAGATGAACTGGGCTATGTAGGCTTAATAGGCAATACAATTCACTCAAAAGGCAACAAGTTTGTTACAGGTGTGAAGCTCAAGGCTGCAATTGACTCAAAACTTAATGACAGCCCTGCACTTAATAGACCTTTTGAAACATAATAAATGGGAGATCATGACAGGATTGGTTCATATCTTTTCATGGAGCTGTTACATTAAAGAGTTTCATCCAAAGGCTCAAAAGCCAGCACTGCATCAGTTAAACATGTGACAATATAGTGGAAGCCATGTCTATGAGTAAGTCTTCTGAAGACAAATTTTTGGTAAATTATGTCTGGTTAATAATTGAGGTTCAAGGGTTAACCTCCATTTTTTGTTGTATAATGATATTATTTAATATTTGACAACTTTTAGTTTTAATAACTTTTTTTTAATGTTTTTGCAGGGAGAGGCAGCTGCAACTTGAGGAGCTAACCAAGGAGCTCAAAAGAGTAACAGAAGAAACAGATGTGTTGAAACACAAATTACAATCCATGAAATCATCAAATCAGGTACCACTTTAGAACTGCTTTTTATTGTATCTAATTTGACAAACAAAGGCCCAGTAGAACACAGAATTTCATATTTACAGTATAAATGAAATTTGCTTTAACTGTGTGAGTGAAAAAACCGTGAACACTTTCATTTAATTCTGTACTGTCCACGCGAGAAAACCTCAAAGCCACAAACTAATTACTGTTGCTGTCTGCAGTTTAGCTTTCTCACACTTAAACTGTAATTAGGTTTTCCCTTGCTACACAAGAACATCCCATAAATATGTCTGGTGTTCATGGCTTTCTGAGTTTCACAGTAACAGCAGTCACAACTAATTTGTTTTCTTTTATTGCAGGGCAAGTGTCCAAATTGCTTTGTAATGGAGAAACAACTCCAATCAAAAATTGTTGAACTTAGAGACAAAGAAGTTGTAACTATTGAAATGCAGCAGTTGTGTGCAAAAATGGAAAAACAGCTTGTCCAACAGGTAAGACACAATGCAATAACTAATATTATGAAGAGAATGCAGTTGTTGAATACAAAAGCATGCCATCTAGGAAATTTAAAAAAAAACATGTGACAAGTGCATAACAGAAAAGCTGGAGATTTAACAGAACTCTGTTGTTCTCACACTTCTCAAGTGTTCTTGAAATTTTCAATAGTAAGAGCTGTATAATTATTATATTATATTTTCAGGATGAGCTTCTACGGCAATGGGCCAAGAATAAAGGAAAGCCAGTTAGGTGATAAAGCAGGTGAGATCTTACTGAGGATGTTAATGCTTTGAGAAGAAACGAAAATCGTGACTCATAGAGAACAATAGTACTGTTATTCATTACTGAAAACTGCTTTGCACCAGTCAAGAATATATTTTGAAAATAATTCAAGATAATATTTATTACAAGTAGTTCCGTTGTTAGAGTCACTAACAGTGATAAAGCCAAAAAATTGGTTTTAAAACAAAACATTTATTTTTTTTTCTCTGATTTCTTTTTTTAACAGGTGACATGTTTTGATGTATACATAGTTGACAACGATCAGGAACATTTCTTCATCCATAAAAATTGTATTACTCTTGAAGTCAATTTATTAGAAATACAGCCAATTTTGCAACAAGGATAAAATTAACAAGTATTATCAATGTTCAATTAAATTATTGTAATGCATTGCTGAATGATGGGAAGTGACTGTAATGCTTAGTTAACAACAACTCGCTCTCTAATAATATTGTATGGACAAAAACTAACAAGACAAATCTGGCAGTAAATGGGACCATGGGCACTGGGTACTCCCTGGGATAGCAACGAGAGTGGGTGGTAGCGACACACCTTGGACAGGTAATTGGGTGGTTAGCGGACACACCCTGCAAACAAAGTGGGGTGGTTAGCGGACTCAAACCCCAAAGCATAAACACAACATGGGGTGGTTAGCAGACACAAACCCCAAAACAGAAACTTGGGTAAGATTGTTCATCGTTTAGCAAAACAAAAGGTTTCTTTTGTTTTTCGTTCAACTAAAGATCTCCAAAAGATACCCTTGGAACACTGAGTTTTTTGCATACGTTATTTCTCAAAAACAAAGCACAAATCAACAAAAACAATTATGCAGCAATGTTTTTCATGTCAAAACAAGTCAGTCTGCCAAAAATTAGCTCTATCCTGTAAAAAATAAAAATCAGCCCAGAATACTATATACGTCCTTTTTGCATGAAAGCCTTCAATTGTAAGTAACAGTGAAATAATTTTAAGAAGTTCCAGTACAAAAGGCTCTTGACATGCTTGACAAAGATGGAAAACCCAGGGAAAAGTTTAGTGTGCTATGCAATGTGTCAGACACAAAAGATCGTGTTTGACCACATTTCCAAACATTGAGAAGAGAGTTGAAAATATGAGGCATAGTGGAGTACTTTTGATGAACTTTGTGGTGTTCGGAAATGTGATCAAACACCGTCTTGAGTGTTACATATATCTTCTCAATCAAAACTCAGACTTGGGAGAAAACCGAGAAATAAAACCGTAAAAATATATGCTAATTAGGATGAGATATCCAAACACCATGCCATCACATTATTTATGGTTTCCTCTGTTGAAATATGATGAATTATTAATGAGTTTGAGAAGCTATCACTTTTCTTCCTATATGCTGAAAATGGTTAGAAGAAGTTTAAGTAAAGGAAGAAGCAACATTTCAAGACCAAACAGGGGTGGTGTGGTAGGCCTTTATCACCACACCACACCACCCCCCCCCCCCACCTCTCCCCTGATAACCATATATGGTTTCAATAAAGGTTAGGTTCAAAAAACGTTAGGTTGTGACAGATTAACTTTCTACAGCTCAATGCTTAATAGATATGAGGTGCAGTTATTAAATTTTGTGAGAGGGAGAGTCTTAGATGAGAAGGATTAAAAGATTGAAGATGTATTTTTAGTCCAAACGGATTATTTATGTGTTGTCATAATTTGAGTTTTTGTTGAACACTAAGCCACAGAGAAACCAGTATCTGTATAATATATTACTGTGTGACAAAGTTACTTGAGTCAAGCATTTGTATTGGCAAGGTATAAGAACCGTCATTTTTTTTCCAAAAAGTGAAAATAAACCGCAGGCTCTTTAGTTCACAGTTTGTTGTTTTGTGTATATTTCCTATGGCGATTTCTATCTTTGTTATGTAATACAGTGAACATCATTTTTTTAAATATATACAGGGTTGATAGCAAAATTTACATGTCAAAGAGATTAACGAGAAGAATGTAGTGTTATTTAACCTGTTTTAAAGTGTCATTCATGGTTAGTCAAAACAAACAAAATCAACTTAAAAGGAAATAAAATTGGCTTACTAGTTGATTTAGTCTGCTTATTAAAATGGTATTAAAATAGAATAAAGACTACATCCATTCCACGAGAAGTCACGATGATCCAAAGTTCAAAATTGCACAAATGTGTATTTTTTTTTCAAACCGCCAATGAACAGAGATTTCCAAAAGAAACTAATTTGTTTGGCCACGCTTTGCAGCTACTATGTGTTCCTATGGTAACGGTGATTGTGATACCGGCTATTGTTAGAGTGAAGTTGTGGTGCTTTTGTTGTAGAGCTGTGTGCATCATCCTTTGTACTCGGTATTCATAATTGCAAAGGTAACGCCACAAGTCTTTTGTGTGCGTTTGTCAACAACATAAGTAAGATAATTTTCGCGCATTTGTGTTTTCCCAAGGGAGTGATTATTTTAGCACGTGAAACGGCCCTGCTAATTTCCGCCCAAGATATCGTTTCCCAGTTTTTGTGCTTGCTATTGTAGCTAATCAGCATTTCTGAGAGTTTGGCAATCTGTTATCACCTTGCAGGCTTTGTGTTGGACTGCGTCACTCTAAGAAGAGTGATGTTTCTAAGGAAATAGACTCAAACGAAGTTGAATCGACGGCGTCGCGTGCACGCAGGAAACGAGATTTATACGCGAACCTGCTTCGCTCGACACGTTTGAAGAACACACAGCTTTGACATCATCTTTTCACGTTAACGGAAGCTGAAAATTTCAGTTTAACAAGCAAAGTAAACAAAAGATTTAACCTCTGCCTCGCTAGTAAAACCTCTGCCTACAGAGAGGCCTGCAAAGGACGAACACTTGACGATACGAGCGCGTCAATAATACAAACAAGTGGATCAGATTTCAAGAATCGACGGTGATGCATATTCCACGTTGAAATCTTCTCAGCTGGTTTTCAAGACAAATTTATCTTCCTTCCGTGTTTAATGGCCCGTGTTAATTGTTATAATTGTTCGTGAAGTGGCATGGCGAAGAGCCATGAGATGGTACAACCGAATTCGTACAATACCCGCAAAATTCGAGGCGAGTTGTACACAACCTCCGCGGGGGAAAGGTCGCCATTCTACGATTCGGACTCGCCAAGCGATACTCTATCGGTTAACGGGTAAGTTAATCAGTTTTGGAACGTTTATGTACTAAATGAAAATATGTTTATTAAGTAGACGTTTTATTAATCACAGTACCCCTAATTTCTTTTTTGCGATCAATCGTGGGCTTGTCAGGGAAAAAACTGCTCGAATTTTTGCTGAATGGTAGGCATTTTTTGCCCGCATGATCTCTTATTTTTAAATTATTTTTTTTTTAGATTCACCAAGTTTCCTTTGTGTGAGATGTCATTGAAAAATTACAGTTTATTTTCTTTAAACTTAGCGTTGGTTCACAGCTGCATAAGCTTAAGTTTTGTTTATCGAGATATGATTGCTAACACAACGAAAGCAGCTGGAGTTCTTCAACAACAACACCGTTGCTTAAATATAAAGGCTAAATTTTTTCAAGCTGACTGGTCTCGAAATGTATGCCTCAACGCCTACTCTTTTATCTACCCTACTATGCAGGAAATTAGCGAATAGCTAAGAAATTCTGCAATTTAGTAAGGCCTCATTTGAAAGTAAAATGAAAAAACATGAAAACACTGTTTACATTTGTTTCACTAGCGCCTCAAGCGAATCGACTTCGGCAAGATCTTCTCGCTCCTCTACTTTGGGTTCAGGGTTATCTAGTCGTTCAACAACAACTACAGAAAGCGATGGCGAAACCGAAGCTTTGGACAACGTCCGTGTTGTGGCAAGGTTGGTAAATTAAATTGAGATCGGATGTTTACATTTCGCTAATATCTTTGAAGGTTATTATTTCGAACTTGTCGTGACTGCCTCCTCATATGTTTGATCTGGTTAATTGTCGCGGCCTATCAAAAATTGCGCCGCACAGTTTCAAAGATCACGAAGTTCACTTGAGTTTTGATGAAATAATATGATTGACTATTAAATCATTATTTACTTTATAAGGTTTGAAAGTGATATGAATTATCAAGACTCTGGACGTGTTATCTTCCAAGACCAAATCAAGCCAGCTGATGTATCAGTGAAGATTGAGGCTGATAACACAAGTTTTATGGAAAAAAAATCTTTTAATAAGTTGACTGTTTTATTGAACATCATCTGCAAAAAATATTCTTTAATTTAATGATTTACCTAATTGTGAGTTTTCATTTAATTTTATTTGATTTACCACCTGTAATTACCTAATTTCACTCTAAAAGTACATTCTGACCTTAAGGGAAAACACTTTCTCTTTCGGTACTTGTAGATCTAAAGACCCTGTCAAAAATGGTCCTCTGTATGCATGTATCTGCTAACTTTTTTTCTCGCGAAGTGCATTAGACATAATTTTTCTTTGTAAGGGTCAACATTTTGCCCCTCCCCCTTCCCAGCCCCCTCTTAAGGCAAGAAAGGATTCACCATCAAGGGGACCTGCCTTATTACATAAAATTTTGCCGACACATTACTTAAATGATTTTGAAAAATCCTTATTAAGCAGCACTTTGATTTGGCAGTTTTTTGTAAATTTTGTAACATAAGTCACTAAATTCTTGTGATTTTGTGAACTGAAACTTTGGCAAATTAAGGTATTTGAAACTTTTACGATGACAATAGAACATTTATGTGATAAAATCATAAACGTCAATAGCTTCATTTAAACTCTTTATAAACATGGAAACTGCAGAGTTCACATGGGAATGCAAAATTTAATACTAGCAAAGGATCCACTTCAGTTGTCAAGCTGAAATGACTGAAATGTGCAGGAGACATCTGATACATGTCGTAATCGACTGTCAAATAGCATTATTGTGTGAAACTGACCAGATAGCGGAATTTCTTATTGTACTCACTCCAATTTAGGGATGATCTAAATTTTGGTGCATTTTAATTTTAATTAACAATTTTGAGAAAAGTCACTAAATTCAGTAAATTAAAGTGTCACCAAAATTTCACGTAATAACTAAAGCCAGCCAGCTTGCAGTGTAAGCGTTGCGCATGTGCAAGGTGCACTTGCAACTTATCGGTATAAGCGCATATCAAGTAGATTCAATGCGATGCTATATTAGGAAAAGTGGGTGGGGAGGGGGTGGGGATGGAAGGAGGTATTTTTCCTTCCCCTCACCCTTACTCCTCTTTAAGCCCCACTCCTACTCCCTCGAATGCCTTTCTTGTCCCAAGCCTCTTCCAAATTTGAATCCAAGATGTGGCATTCACTTGCATGCAAAAATACACCTGCATTTATATGACAGGCTATTTTTATGCAAGAAAGTACCCTTCTTTTTGCCCAATTCTCCTACCACTTTTCTCAATGTACACTATTGTGTGTTGGTCTTTTACCCTAGGCGGTCCTCTTTCATTCATAATACTATTGTCTCTCATTTTTAGAGCACGTCCTTTAAATCCTTTTGAGAAGGAAAGAGGAGACAAGAACATTATCAAGCTGCCAGGTGATGGAGCAGTTTGGGTGAGTTATCTCTACTGTTTCATTGAGTGCATGGCGAATGTGGTTCTGGTGTTAGTGGGGGGGGCGGGGGATTTATATAACCTCAGACTCTCACTAAAGGTTATATGGTAGAAGAAACTGATAGGTCATCAAATTTCAATACTTTGAATGATGGACTAATTTGAATTTTTATGGTTCATTGTTATCCAAACATTCAGTTATCCAGATTTCTTTGAAATTTCCATTAATAAAAACAAGAGAGACTGAATTGTTGGTTGATATTTGCAGTTATGAATACATGCATCAGATATTTTAACAATATTTTTTTTTTAGATTTTAACATCAACAAACCCTGCATATCCTTCTTTTGTTCTTTTCAACAAATGCATGTATTTAAAAAAATCATCCATTTGTTTGTGAATGTTCCTCTGAAACTTTCTTTTTTTAATTGCTCAAACAATTACAATAATAATAATATACATGAAAAAATTACTCGATTCTGATTGGCTGAGAGCAGTGCAGTTCAAGTGTAACACCAGTGCTAAAAGTGTAACACCAGTGCAAATTACACATCGCAATTCTAGATTGTGATTAGTTAAAAGAAAATAGGAAATTTTCTAAGCCAATGATATCACATAAAATGATGATGAAAATTTAGTGCGGAAACTTTGAAAAAAGTTTTCTCAAATGAGAAAAAATGGCCTCAAGTAAGATTTTCTGGCGTTTCCTCCAAGCAAATTTTTTCACTCACTGAAGCAGCTCGTGCAATTTCAGCTTTTTGAAAAACTCACTCATGCAAATTAATTCCAAATTGAACTCGAAACCATATGATTACCTATACTAATGTTATTACAATTTAACTTAGACCATGGTTACAAAACAGTCAAAAACAGTCTACAGAGTTGCGTATCTACACATTACAATCTACACATTACATACAACAAATTTACAGTATGCTTCTTACAGAGAAAGGACACTACTGGTAATTTACAGCTCTTCCTTATATTCACATGCAATATTTACATCAGCTACTCTGAAACTTGAGAAAAACAATAAAATGTTGCTATTTCAGACGACCTACAGCCACTGCGCACTTAATGGCTGATAGGATACGATGGCTTATCACAGCCGATCAGATTGCAGCTAGCATTTGGATTACTATACAGTAAAATTCTACTACTTAAGTAGTTTTAGTGTATATGCATAACATGCAAATCTTTCAAGTGTGGAGACTTGTTCTTTGCAGATTGACAACAGCTTTGGCCAGATCAAGCCTTTTACTTTCAATGAAGCATTTGGTGAAGAGACCTCACAGGAGGAGATATTTGAAGGATGTGGCATTAAACACTTGGTGGAGATGGCTTTAGAAGGGTTGGTACCAGGGGGGGTTTACTAGAAAATCTGTAAATCTACCTGGTTATCTGCAGTTTCTACAATTGCCCTTCTCTTCTAAAAGGGATGGCCGTTCTTCCTTTCTTAGGATCCCAAATGGTTCAAATTCAAGACCCTTCTGGGCAGTAAGACTAATTACTATTCTATGAGACCACGAATTTCTTAGCCTCGCAAAGGAAATTGAGAGTCCAAGAAGGCATAATTTACTTTTAAAGATGTTTTACTGTCCTTAGTAAAACTCAGAAACTAACAATGTAACTTTTTGTTGTTTCAGGTATTCCTGTACAGCCTTTGCATATGGTCAGACTGGATCAGGGAAGACGTACACCATCACCGGCCCACTAAATCTGGTAAATGTTTTTTCTTGTATAAATACTGTGATACAATGGACTTTAGGCAACTTATTAAAGGACAGCAGTTTTTCAAAGTTTATTTGCAGTTCGTTTACTGAAACCAGGGCCACCCAGACAGTGAAAATCAATCAGATGGCAGAACTTGTTCATTGTGATGCATACACGACTATGGTGTCAGTTAATAAATTGTTAAGCTCAAACCATTCAGTAGTACTTTTGCATACTTGCGGTTTTAACAAGAATTCTCCCTTGTTTGGCGTATAGGAGAAACTAACTGCTCACAGGTTGTGTACTGATGAGCCATCAAGCTCTTTTTATCCCAAAGGTTGGACCAGACTTACCAGTTTAATTACTTAAGATACAGTTACATTTGAGGTGACTTTAATTTTTCCTACTGTAGAAAGTTTCAAGTTGACCTATGTGAACTGAGTTGATTAACTATATGTACAATCATAGATATAATAAAGAAAACATGAACTTACTGTATTTGAACATTACAGGAAGGCCCTGTGGCTAACAAGGACAAGTTTATTCCTGATCCAGACATGCAAGGACTGATTGAAAGGTTTGTATCTCATATGTACAATGATTGTACTCTAGGGGTGAGTTGAGTGGGGGGAAGGGGGGGGGGGCTATTGCATGTAGTGTGGTAATTTTCAAACTGGAGTCGGCTTTTCCATTTGGGATTTTCCATGGATTTAACAACTCTAAGATCCAATGTTCTGACCACTTATGTTTTGGTTTCAAGGTTGTCACTTTAGCCTTCTAGGTCTGTAATGACTTTAAAGTCTGAGATCAGGTATGGGTGGTATGTAGTGGGGTACATGTATTGATTGACAGTCCCCCATTTTAAGTTAACTGTAAGATGGGGGAGTGTCACTAAAAATGTGTGAAAAAATAAATATTGCAATCTTGATAATGTGCAGGAAGTATGGAGCTTAATATTATTTTATTTGATTATTGTTTTATTGTTTCAGGTCTTTCCATTATTTATTTGAGCTAATGGATAATCGTTCAGATGTTGTGTATACGCTCAAAGCTTCGTATTTGGAAGTGTATAATGAAAAGGTACAAGCCTTTCAAATGTTATTTGTACATGTTAAGTTGTAGTTACTATATTGTAATTTCACGAAAGAAAACATTAAAACTTTAAAGGTAGCATTGTGTATCTGCCCAAGTGTAAGGTATACCATGTTTACGTGAAGGTTGGTTTTATTTATTTGTTGGATTCATTTGTTGTGGTTTCAGAAAATGTCCATGCCCAACCTAAAAGAGGGTTTTTGAAAATTCCATCAATGAAGCAGGGGGGATCAAAAGCCAAAAGTTTTAAAGATCCAAAATTGGAATTCCAGTGGGATGGGAGGGAGGGGTATGGATATTTTCTGGAAAACACAATGGAGAATATTTCACCAAAACTATGAACTTTTGTACTTGCCCCAACTTGATTGGATAATTTATCAACAATTTTATTTACATCATAGTGGATACAAGTGTTTAAAAAATAGTTGTAAATGCTATCCTTTGTTTATAACAGGTGCAGGATCTACTCAACCCCTCCAGAGCAAGAGACTCCCTTCCTGTGCGCTGGGCCAGGGACAGAGGCTTCTATGTAGAAAACTTGTTTTTTGTGGAGTGTGACGCACTGGATGACCTTACAGCTGTGTTAGAGGAAGGTATGGTCACACCATCATAGTATGATCAACTTCTAATTTCTCTCTAGAATATCAATACAAAATCAGGCATACATTTCATGAGAATTATGATAATGGCCACCCTGGGAAAATTGTTTTGATGTACTAACAAATTCTTCCAACTTGTTTACTATAAAGAAATTTCTGGAGACAAGTAAGGAGAATTTGTATACTGGTATAAATTTCAGTTAACTATTGGTCAAGTTCTTCTGATACTACTCCCTCTCAGTCTTTGATCTCAAAGGTGGGGCAGGTGGAGGAGAGTGACTAGGGGGTAGGCAACCTCCCTTGTGTCAGTAGTACCCCTCCCTTACACTCCTCTGTTTCTCCATTTGCAAGCTACATTCTGCAGTGTAGGCAGTAGGATTCTAAAAAAGTGCCGTATGGTCATCCCAGACAAGTAGATTTTCCTGTTGAACAATTAACATTTCATTCTCACTCACTCAATGGGCAAAGGCCCAGGCAAGTCTTCTTCTAAGTAAGAATAAAAAAGTAAACTAATTCTTGCCCAGAACGAGCAAAATTTGAGAGCTGCTTCACCCAAGGGCAAGGTAAGGTAAGGTAAAGTCTGCATACGAGCGAAGTGGCCCATCAGGCCAGAGCTTATCCCGGTTTCCATAGCATGAAGCGACTAGGAATATTTCTACTCCCCCCTGGATAGGATGCTAGTCCATCGCAGGGTTACCCCCAGCATTAAATTCGCCAGTACCCATTTATACACCTGGGTGGAGAGAGGCACTGTGAGAGTAAAGTGTCTTGCCCAAGAACACAACACAATGTCCCCGTCCTGAGGGCAAACTGGTATTCAATTGTTTTTCAAGCCATGGTCAAATGTTAAACTCTTATGTCCTACTTTTTGCTGCACTCACACTTCTTTTCTAATCTTTTGCAACAGTAGTTGTGTTCTTCATCCTCCATGTTTGACAAGCTTTAAGGGGGTAGGATACCCTAAAATATGGCAATGTTCATGAAAAATTCAATTTCTTGGAAATACCAGGCTTAAGACCCTTGACGACTTGTCAAAAAAACTCTGAAACGATCTTGCCGAATTTCCTTCCAGATGAGTGTGAAATTTAAGGAAAGTACACAGTGGTATAAGTTTTTTCACG